ACTTTTATCAACATAATATTTTTTAAATTACTGCAAGTTATTTATCAACTTTTTTTTATCTCTTATTGTTTTTTCTTAAGGGCACTAGTTTGCCCCTCAGAAGAAGTTTCTATGTTTAACCGTTATAAAGGAAAACAACAAAAACTAATATTTTCCGACATTTGGAAATCAAATAACTCAACAACGAAACCTCACATTACAAAAATTCTCAGAAAGACCCCCTTATAAAATTACTAGAAGAACACGCTCTTAAAATATTTTAAAATATTTACGGAACACCCTGTATAATATATTCCGAATACTTAGCCATAATCTAAATAAAACACAACTATTCATGTACTGTCTCTGTTTATAAAGATGATATTGGGTCTATATCACTAGTGAACTTCCAAATCACCTGAACAGACGACATCGATAATTAAAATGTACTATGGAAATAGAAGTCAATCAACAACTGATCTTCATGGATATTTTTGTATTGAGGAACGAAGATCGTTTGGACATTTTAGCAGATGCGAAAACGGTGACAAATTGAATAGGAAATTCATGTTTTCAGAATTAAATCTGCAGTTGCGCTCATCTACAAACTAATTGGACAGAAGCAAGTGAAAATAAAGCTAAAAAAATTACACCTTGCAGATTGTGCCAACCATTGCGACCTAAAACCAACACTAGAAACTGTATATGAAAACTGAAAAAAAAACTAGCACCGTGTATCTTAAAAACGAAGCTTTTACAAACTTTCTTTGATTTAAACCTGTTTCCTTATTTTGTCACGTAGAATATTCAATTGAAATTATGCAAACAACGTGGCAATCAAATTATCACCAATATATCAGTGTTATTCTACTCGTTATTAGAGGCTCAATTTTCCAGATAAAGAAGAATGAAACTTCTGGGTAAACCCCAGGAAATTATCCGTAAAACTCGTCACCCACGGGCTTCACAAAGGTATAATTGAATAACGAACGCAATATAACAACCATTACACTAATAGCAATTAAATTTATTGGCAAGTGTAAATGACTTTGATCTGCAATATTAGACTTGAACTTTGGCAAAGTAAAAGACGTAAGCCACAGACGTACCGATAAAATTTTAGTATTCCTGTTACACGCGTACCAATTTGCTAGCGTACTTCGCTCACTTCCCATCAATAAATCTCGCAAATGTTCTACCGCATGGGAATATCAATTAGAAATTTTTGCCTCAAGGATTCGAAATGAGTTTTTGCCATGTGGCTCATGAGCACGTAAAATGGTATTAATCTCAAGTACCACATCAAGATTCAACGGAGATACAACAGGTGGTTGTGACATAGATGTAACAATAAACCGCAAAGATCAGTTAGAGCGGATCTTGATGAAACCATCCTGAAAAATCCTGACCCACTCAGCTCTTTATACTTTATATCAAAGTTTATGAACCAGGAACAATTAAAAAGCTATCTATATGATCGATATAGCAATGAACCTTCTTGTGTCTTCATCGCTTCTGCCACTTCAAACTAATTGCACCAATTATCAGTAGGTACTGCAAATTGGATAAAAATAATTAGCCAAGTCGATCCCATGTAACTTTCAGTACCATTCAACTATGTAGTTAAATTCTTGCAAAATGTTTTTGTGTGAAGGTAAAACGTGACCTTGCTTCTTGTGTAGAAAAAGGCAACGGACCATAAACCGTGCCTCTGTCTTCGGGATCATAAACATCTAGCCGATTACAACATCCACAAGATATGGTCTTAAGAATACAATATGTGAAGATATTTTAATGACCACTGGTTATTTTGAGGTATATTATGGTTATTATCGGTTGGACGCAATCAAGTAAACTTACTTTTTACTTCATTTTTTGTCTAATTTCACCTTGTCTGGACGGTTTGTATGGCGACAATCTTTAATAGTCAGATGTGGGATTGGACCATAAATATTAATAGGATATTGCGATGTCATGGCCACTAGTCAGTTTCATTATCTCGGATTTAAATTAATATTTCTTCGCCGACTTTGCCACTTGTTTGCGCAAATTTCAGTTTCAGGGGACCAACAATTTTGTTTGAATTTTGTTCATTATTTTTCGATAAATGCAAAGTTGAAAACGTGAAACACAAAGTGCTCGGAAGTGATGCTCAAAAAATGCAAGTGGTAATTACTGAAATTACTTTAAGGGGTAATTATACATTAATAATAAATGCTTCATGTTCGTAACGTTTCCAAATTGCTATATGAAGTAACCAACAGTCAAGCAAGGAATTGTATTCTATTGAAACAAATTAGCTTTAAATCCTTCTAATTTAAAACGGTTACCAATGAATGGAACAGATTACTAATAAAATGCAACATAATTGTTCTGGTTACAAATCAAGCTAGATGGAAATATTTCTAGCAATGTTGAGTGCTAGAATGATTTGAAACGTCTGCATTAGATGGATTTCTACTAATCTAATCCATTTTCCAGATCGATAAAAAATTATTTTAAAATCGCCTTAATTTAAATAGAAGTCCCTGAATATTTGTTTGTTAAATGGAAAAAACAGCTAGTCGTACATGACAAGCACTGCGAGCTTTCGATGTTTTTATTGAACAGAAAAGTGTAATTGTTTTCCAGTCAAATAGTTCAAGGTTTGTACCAAATCAAGCATTTTTCGTTAGATTGAATGAAGAAAACCTTTCAATGCATTTCGCATTGGAAAAGCTACCTTGCACTGATAGTTTAATTATATTAAATAGCTTTGGTGCGTATATTAATTATATTAAATAGCGTGTGACCAGAATACAAAAGAAATACCTGCTCTTTTAAAGAAGAACTTTTATGTATGCCCGTCAATGCTTGCGCCCAAAAATGTCTTAAATTTGTTAAATTTTCTAAATTCTTGTAATTATTAATACAATACAACCAACACTTTCTAGCCCATAAATTTAATTTACAGGAAATACAGGAAAATCGCTGGACTGGTCAACAGGACTTTGACCCATCAATAGTAGTCAACAAGCTTCTAAATGTCTGTAGTTGTTGTTAAAACAACAATATTACATGTGGATGAAATCAATTAGCAAAATTTCCTCTTTTAATTAAAGGATCAGTGACCTTTCGAACTTTATCTGTTCCCCTTACAGATTCGGTTTTATTGAAATACGTCCTGCTTATCATGCACATAAAAAAAAGTGGTAATTTATTGCGTTTTGATGAAAAGGTATTGCTATTCATTTAGATTTTCCTGAACATATCCTGATTATCATCTGATGAACTATAACGAGCTTTTTTGCCCAGCAGGAAATTTTCTGAAAATTTGGTTTTTTGAGTATCTACAAACCGGATGGTTTGCCTCTTGAAATATCTGTTCTGAAAGCAACCGAAACGAGAAAGATAAGATAAAGACCGATATTGATACGCGTGCTGAAGATTAACGTAAATAGAGTTTTTATTCTGTTTGGATGAATAACTAAAAGCATTCCGAGGCAATCAGTATAGAGGACGCTTGCATATACCAGTCCATATGGAAAATCCAAACCACTTCGAAACAACATAAATTAAATGATTTAGATTAATAGTTAACTGTGGGCAATATGTCATGTGGTCAATCTGGGTAATAAATCTGCAAATTGTTGGCAAAAAAATAAACGAGTTATATCCACCCCATAAATGGAAACCACGAACGCAGCAGCGCAATTGTAGACATTCTGTTGATAAACCATTTTTCTATCTAGTCTATAAGTACGCCGATTTGCCCAGTATTCTCGATTCTCTGTTAAGCCTTCAGCACGCGAAATCTTGTACGTCAAAATAAAACTTTGGTTGTTAAAAAGGACATTTTCATTTGGAAATCTATAATTGGCGCCGTCGGTAGGATTGGATTGATGCGGCGTGATCTACCACTTTCTGAATCGCTAAGTAAAAATCGGACAAAACGTGATTAGTCGAATATCAATTTTGTGCGCCGGTTAAGTGACCCAAATCTTTGAACACTACATCTTGTGTTTCAACATTTCAGCAGTTTGCTAATTCCACACCTTGCTAATTGATTCAGAAAACGTCCCAAGACTACAAGTTTCCACGGAGAATCGAGAAAGGAAGAATACTGTCCATCTTAGACCCTATGCATACGGCATCTGGTTGGGATATTTAAGATTTTTTTTCTCTTTGAATTTTGAATGAACAACATCGACGATTTATTTCAAGCAATAAACGAAATAACGATCGAAGCAAACAAAATGGCACAACCTGAAATAAAAATTAATTGAGATTTACTAAGAAGTAAACTAGACAACATCAAGCCTTACAATGGAGGTGGAAATAGTTTGAACAAATTCGTAAAAAGTTGTGACAATGTAATAGTCACATATCGCGAATTCAATGATTTCGATCTAGACCAACACATCTATGAGTGTGTTCAAGAAAAAATAATTGGTAGAGCAGAATGTATGGTAGGCAATAGAGCTGAAATAGATAGCTGGTCTAAACTAAACCAAGCCCTGTTACAATGCTTTGCTGATCGTAGAGACTTAGACTGTTTAATCCAAGAACTCACGAGGACGCGTCCAAACAAAAATGAACACTTAATTGACTTTGGAAGCCGTTTACAGCTAATCAGAAGTAAGGTAGTTTAAATAATAAGTAAACGACCCAAACATCAGTACCAACGAAAAGTTATGCCACATAAACTACTATGATAAAACAACATTAAACACTTTTATTGCAGGATGCACTGATACATCAAGAAACCTGAAGCTCTAGAATATGCTATTTCATATGTCAGTGAATTCGAAAATTTCGAAAGGTTATTCGGTAACTTTTCAGATCCAAACAGAAATTTCAAAAATTTTCCATTTCAACAAAGACCGAATAATTTTCAAGCTTTTCAAGATCTAAAACCAAACTTCAACCATCATCAAAATTTCTTTGGAAACAACAACAATTTCAACCAAAGCAATCCTCCAAGCGTTTTTGGACAAAACCACAATAACCCTCCAAAACCAGATTTTCCTTTTTCAACCAGTTCATGTTCTTCTTCTTCTTGTATTGTCTGGCCTCATTCCTTCTATGTGGTCTCTCCAACACCGGCGTCTCTCTCTCATCCATCTGACAACGTCCTGCACTCCCAGTTCTCTTCTGGTGTTCTCGTTGCGTATCCTATCATGTAATGTGATCCCCTTTATTGTTCTTAGGATTTTCATCTCTGCTGTTCTCATTTTCCTTTCGGTAGCAAACGTTTCAGCTCTTGTCTCGACGGCATAGGTCATTATGGGTCTGACGTAGGTCTTATAAATTCGTGTCTTGCTCCCTGTAGTCATATATTTGTTCTTCCAAATTATATCTCGCAAACATCCTGATACTCTTACGGCCTTTCTGATCTGGTTTTCCACCTTATTCACTGTACCTCTGCTGCTCGATACTTGTAGCCTCAGATAGTTGAAATTCATCACCTGCTGTATAATGTGCTCACTCACCACCAACTTACATCGGATCGGATCCTTGGATATTACCATAGATTGTGTTTTTTCGATCGAAATTTGCATATTAAGCCTCTGTGCTGTTAGGTTGAATCTGTAGAAAAGGCGCTGGAGGTCATCTTCGCTCTCTGCCGTCAAGACAGCATCGTCTGCGTAACAGAGTATTCTCAGGCGGTAGTTGTTTATCTTGAATTCTGCATCGACTTGGTTCACACTTCCAATTATTTGGTCGCTTATGATGGTAAAAAGGCATGGGCTAAGGCTATGTCCCTGTCTTATGCCGGATGAGCCTTTCAGTTCTCTTGTTGGACCACATTCTGTCCTTATTATTGTTTTATTGCTTATGTTAAGCTGCTTTATTAGGTTTATGTGACACTTATTGACATCTTTTTGGTTCAGTCGGTCGATGACATCCTTAAGCTGTACATTGTCAAATGCTTGCTTTAAATCTACAAAGCATGTGTACATTGATTTATTGAATTCAATGGACTTCTCTATCAATTGGCGTAATTTAAATATTGCGTCTATCGTTACTTGATCTATTGCATTTATTACTAGTTCCTCATTGACTGGCTTTTTTCTCTTTTGTTGCATGTTCCAGATCTTCTTCTGGCCCCCGTACAGGTCATGTTCTATTTCCACCGAGAACCTTTCCCAGTATGTCCTTTTGAGTTGTTTAATCGCAATAGTTGTTCTGTATCTTTCTCTTTTGAAGACTTGATATTCTTCGGGTGATCTGTTGTTAATGTACCTTATGTAAGCGTTATTTTTCTCTTTTGCTAATTCGTTGACTTCCGGGGTGAACCATGGCTTATTGTTTCCTTTATTTGTGTTTAATGTCCTTTCTCCTAGGGCTTCCTTGGCACAGTTCTTTATGTTGTTTTTTATTTTTTTAAATGCGGCTTCTGCATTATCTCTTCCTGATATTGTGTTTGGAGTGATCTTCGTCTAGTCTGTCTTGGTAAAGTTTTCTGACGCTTTCGTCTTTGAGTAATTCTACATTAAATTTTGTGATGTAATTCGCCATTTTCCTTTTTTTTATTATGTGTGATATACGGTACTTACATAGAACTAGTCAGTGTTGTGTTCGGATATTTGCTGATGGTTATATACGTACATCGAGTATCCGAGTTCATGTTCAACCCAGAAAACTACCCCCAAAGAGAGACAAATAATCTATGTTGATCACGATACCAGATGGATGCCAGATTGGAAGCAACAACAAAATATTGTCTAATGACGTGAAAATTCAAGAAGAAAAACAACTGTTGCTACTCGCAGTAATTTTAGCAACCTCCAATTTCACTAAAGTATTGGAAACGCAAAGTATAACGGAAATCAACTTTGAAGAAATCCACCAGTTGCAAAATATGGCCAACTACTTAGCACCCCCCATTGGTTACAACCCCGATTCAACCCAAAGTGACTGGTCCTGGATACTATTTATCATAATAGTCGTCGTGTTCTTCACAACCCTCGCTGTTAAGAAGAAAACGCCACAATCAATCTGGAGATCCTGGAGGAACAATCGGAAGGGAGTACAAGAAGAAGCGGCCACCACCCAACAACCCTGCCATTCGAAAACGCGTCCCTCAATTTTAGAATCTTAAGGAGAGAGGAGTTATATCTCTAACTATATATATACTATGTATAGTTATATATAGTATATATATAACGCTTCTTCTGACTAAAGGAAAATTGAACGGTTAAATTTGCTTTATGCCTTTAAAGACTACGAGAGCACTTGAAGTTCGAATTATCGCTTTGACCTCAAGCTCTTTATGTTTAAGCCATGTTTCCTGCTTAATTTGTTATTTTCAATTTAAACCGAACGAAACGTAAAATTTTCCGAGATTTGATCCAATTTAAAAACAATAACAAACTAACCACACCGTAAATATGTAAATAACGGCTTTGAAAAATAAGCTTTATTTGCCACGCTCTCCATAAGCAACGTCAATATTTATAAAATCCCGATAGCTTTCTTTGGTACGAGCAAATTCTCAAGTACTTTCCCTTGAAACGGTTAGATGCATGTGACTTTAATCGCAGCATCCGCAAATGAAATCATAGTAAATAACCATAAAAGCAATGCAGCGAGTACAAATGCGAATTTCATAAAATTATACAGAATGTTCTATGAAAAGTCATCAGAACCCATATCGAGTACCGAGTAGGTACGTCAGTTTGTCGGATTTGTTTGCTCTCTTAACTGATATGGAACCGACTTAAGGGAACCACATTTGTCCATGATTAAATGGAAATTTTACATGTTTTTATTTGAAGTGTAATTAATTTATTTCATTATTATCTGCTTTGCCAAGATGGTAAACATTAGCTACTAATTAAATATTTTATTGCTTATTGCAAAAGTCCAGGGAATAAGCGATGCAGTTAACGTATTCAAAGCTTCGGATAGATTAGGTTTCTACCATCAATCAGCTGAAATATATTGCAAAGATATGGATAAAATAGCGCAATAATTGATGAAATAAAAGCGAATCTATCATTTCGTATGGCAAAATTAGGTCTAAGCAGCCCGACCAAATGAGTTAAAAAATCAGAACAAACGCAAAAATTCAACCACTTTATTTGTTTCCAAAAGGACATTTGAAAATGAGAAACTGGTAGTTTTTTTAATCCTCTTTTTAAGCAAAAACGCTTTCATATAGAAAATTCCCATTTCCAGTCCTTTTTTTGAACTTGCAAAATTAATCGATTCTTTTAATGATAAAATCAATAAGTTTTATACTATTAGGCCTGAATGTTATCTTTGGTCATAGAGAAAGCACAATGTCGTCAAACTTGTAATTGCTGAGTAAAAATATGTATAATTCATCAAAAACTCTTCTTAGCTTGAGTGAGAATCAACCGAACAAACCAACAGAAAAACGCGAAAATTAAAACCGCTTTTCAGCCCATAAAGTTTATAAGTTATTACATTACTAACTTATGTTGTAACAAGTAGCAAGTCCATGAAGCTTTATTATTGTCCTAAACGCTCATTATTTCCCAAGGGTATAATGATCACTAAATGCATGTAAACTCACTGTACTAACTAGTAACAACAAAAGCCAAGTTATCAGTTTAAACAATTATCATTCTATTATTTATTTCAGACGACTGGGACTCTTAAGGCAGTCAACTTATAAATAAAACAGTCAATGAACGTGGGGTTTAGTCGTACCGAATTATCCGTAGAACTCAGCTGAAAATTGCTGAAAATTTAGTACGTTTCAAACCTTAATAGAACTATGCTAGTGAACATTTAAAGAAGGGATAAATATATAAACAGTCGACAAAATGCCCGAAAAAACTGCAGGAATTCAGTGTTGTCAAAGCAGTGGTTCGTTGGGATCGGAAGTGATGGAGGAACCGGTGAATTTTGACAATGGAATCAGCTACGAAAAAGACGTTTTGGCACCGCTTAACAACAATGTGATCATCCCTGTGAGCCAGAAGAGTCACTATGTTTTTCCGAAACGTCAGAGGGTGGACTTGGAATTTTCCGATTTGACTTTCACCAGCTCTAGCTGGTCTATGACCAAATTTCAAAAAGGTAAGCAAACAAATTATGAGGACAAAATGTTCACACTTTTAAATTAAAGTTTTAATTATATTAATTAGTTTTTAAATTAGTTGTTTTCGTGCGATCTGACTGAAATTGACCATCAGCTTCATGTAATTGGACACTTTTTGCGGAAAGTGCAAGATCGGAACCCGTCCGCTTTTTACCCGCTGAACTAAGTTGATGAGATGTAGAACCAAAATTGTTATATGTAGAATTCAAAACTCTTCTATCACCCTTCCGAAAAAATTGCTGTTTTTATATATAGAGTGTTCAAAAAGGTGTGGCAATCTGGCAGGATACTATTTGTTAAAAGTTGTCCACATATATGAAAATTCATCTGAAAATTTGTTTTTTTAGGCGCTGGGAGCAAAAATTACCGACAGTTTTATGAAAAGTTTGAGATTTCGAAGAAATTAGAATTATTTGCTTTTTATTTACATATATGCAACAATATTAGAATTATTTGCTTTTTATTTACTGAAAACCATGTCTTTCCATATGTGGACCTAATTTCATTTGTGAGACATTAAGTCTATCTTGTACAGCAAAATGCGCAATTTTTTTCCACAATTTTACTGTTCGAATGGCGGTTATAATTCCGTCACTAGAAGCTTATGAGTGACGATATCACGGTCAATTTGGTCTCACACATGTATCGATATGTAAAATGGTTCAAAAACTATTTACCATTTAAAAAGAACGGATTTTTACTTAAAAACTACGTAGTTTCAGCAAAAGTTCCAGGGATACTTTTATAAGTTTAAGCAAAATTCATCAAACATGCGCGGTGTCGCTCGTAGCAAGTTTTTCAAAAAATATTGTTTCTATATTTAAAACCCTGTGAGTCTTAGCAAAGAAAGAAAACTTTTGGGTTTGTAATTGAAGAAAAATAAAAAAAAAAAATTTTTGAGGAAGGCACTTTTCGGAGCCGCCAGCTCTTTTTGGGCCCTGGTGTATATAATATTTTCGATTTTTTGTTGTTTGTTACTCTTAATGTCTAGCAGATTAAACATGGACCAATCTGTATCTATCGTGTTTGTAAAACAGCTTTCAGTTCAAATAGAAATCAGTCAAAAAAAATTAAGTGTTTAGGTAATCTGAAAATACTGCTAAAATCCACTAGTTTATGTTTTTGTTATTTTCTCCAGTCAAAATCTTGGACGTTCCTACAACAAAATGATTGAAGCTTCTTTCTACTCGATATTCGTCATGATTAGAAGACTTCGACTTCTAATCATGGAAATAAGCTGTTGGTTTATGAATTTGTGGTTTGATGGCATTTTTTTTCTGATTTTTCTTCACTTTTAACGACACGCAATTAAACGCTGTTGAACATTAACATTTTCCATAAACGTCCAGACAAAAAACCATTGCAGCTTATAGTGTTCAATTCTGGAAAATCCACAAGTTCATACATTAAACCGAAAATACGTGAAAGATTCTTGAAAATATGAACAATTTATGTACTAAAGTTGTACCGGTTATACATTTGAAGGCTACAATTAACAAATCGAAAAGTAATTTGAATCTATAAATAATTCAATTGAACATTATTGTGTGGTAATTTTCATGTGTTTTTCCGACATCGAGCTGCTGCGAAATCTCACGAATGTTGGAAACTAGAATATAGCAGTGAGTTTGTTGAAGTAGGAGCGAAAAATGTGATGTTTTTCAGTAAACATTTCAACCAGTGGGATGGCTTCTAAATTTTTATCTGCTTGGTAACAAAGAAGGTCAGCTCTACAATTACAGAAGTTCAATAATGAATTGGAATAATGAATAGTATAGATAATCAATTTTCGGTCGGAAATAGTCTCACCAACGTCTCACAAACGATCACAAAAAATTGTGACTGTTAAGCAAAGCAAAAAATATAAAATCTCGACGTTCTGAACCCTTTGTTTTCCTGATTTTACATGGACTGTTTTTATTTATTTCGATATTCCTTTACTATTATAATATTGCATTGTTTTACTTTTCCACTTTTGAAACTATTGGAAACTAATTAATAATGAGCAACTTGCGGCCGATGAAAAGTTTGCCGCGTTTTATGCAAATTAAACTGACCAGCTTAAATTTTATTACAACTTTATGTAGATAATTATCATCTTTGTGCCTTGGATGATTGGATTTTTCCAAAAAATTTAATTGTTTTTATTTTCAAAATTCAAGGCTGTTTATTTGGTCAAAAAGTTGATGGTATTGTCTTACTAGACATAAACTTCCAAATCCATGTTTTTTATTTGCAAATTGTTCAGAATGTTGACTAATTAGGAAGATGTATTAAAATCTATACGTCTTTGCAATATCTAATTAATGTCCAAGCATTTTTAAATTACGGAAAAATAAACAAATTCAAACGAAGAAATTATCAGAATTGGCATAAACTAGTTAACGAAAACTTGCAATTAGCAGAGCAAGTTTTTTGCCCTGTTAATAAGCAGGTCGTAATTAATCATTGAATAGATTACAAAACTTAATGTTGCGTAAGTGTCTTCACTGCCACGTATACCATATAATTAAAGAACTGTTTAGACAGTAAAATGGTAAAAACATGTTGTTGTTGTGATTTGGACATTTTCCGTTTGAAAACGTGATAGTTAAAATCACGTTTAAGAAATTATTTTACAAAATGTAGTAATGAAAACAAACGTACTGTTCCAAACTGCTTACACGAATTGGCTGTTCATCGTTTGGTATGGATTTTATTGGCGCTCATTTTTTTCATGGAAAGCCATTCAAGTTATTGTTTGTATGCAGAAATGGTCGCGAAAGGAAATTAATAGTTAAGTAGAGACAAATTAATGGATAATCGGGGACACCACTGTTATACTCCTTTCCAAAAAATAGTGCACCTCATTTTTCAAAGTTATCAAGTTCATAGACGTAAATTTTAAATTAAAGAACTAATGTTGACGAGTTTTTTAGCGATTTGAAGCGTAGTTCTTTGGCTATCATTGCCAAGGCAATACATTGCAATACAATAGAGTTTCCGTGACAAATGAGGGAGAAAAGACCGTTTATATGACAAATCTCATTAATTTTTCAGACACTTTTAAAATGCTTTTTTCTAGCAAGCTGTTGATGCAAGAAAACTTAAAATTAGTCCCTAAAAGATGGTTGGAGAAGCCGAAAATAACGTAATTAACTACTTGAATTAAAAATGCACTAAGTTCCTTAATTACTCATAAAACTTCATTAGATATTGCATAATTGCTTAGTTGAAATATTGCAACCTTTGCCATTAAAAATGGAAGATCATCAAAAAGTAGTTTGGCAAAAATGATTCAACATTTTAATAAAAATTTTTAAATCGCGCTGGTCTTCTACCATCAGAAACCAGCGAGCCGGATAATTGTTTTGTTGACTGTCTCATTTCCCATCCTAAACGCTGCAGCAATTCAGCCGCTAATTGCCATAATTAATTAAAATCATTATCGAAAAATCAGCTCTATTAGAATACAGTGAAAAAAATGGAAAAAAATCAAATCCGTTTCGTGGTTAAAACATCACATAAATTTCTGCATCAATGTTTTCCTGTTGTCCGCCATTCAATTAATCGTCAGAATTATCCCTGGATTAGTTTAATTGTACATTTGACTACTCATTTATCATTTAATTATCAGCAATTCCTATATGGTAAGTTGGGCCCATTATTAATTAATTCGAAGGACATGGCTGAAAAATGTGCATTTGCCTCATATCATACAGCAAGCGAATGATAAAACCACTGATAGTAGAATATAGAACAATAACACATGATAAGATAAATTTTTACAGGTTTAAAACAATTGCGAAATAGAAATGCAAATAAAGTTAGTCAGGACTTCCAAGTTTTTAATTGCAAGTGCCACTTAAAAATACTGCATTAGATAAACGGCTTAACTTTATGGCATCTATCTACCAATAGCTAATTACTTTTTTACACGTTTCTGATGTTCCATGGCAGTTTACATGATAATATCGACAAACACTTGTTCTTATAATTTCGAAAGGCTAGAAAACCACACGTTGAACGCATAACTATCGCATTTATAATGCTGTCACATCTTCAATAAACTTATTTATAGTTAATTATTCTAAATACATCCAAGTATATGTAAATCATTTTTCATCGTTTGTTTCAATCCGGTTTAAAAAAGGCTGAATTTTTATCCGTGTGAACTGTGATTTGTTATTTAGCTGCATCAAAGCTTATATGTATGCTTAAAATTAAATGTTAGTATTTAAACTTAAAATTGTAGATGAGTTTATCAGGTGGCCTCTAAAGTGCACTATGTGAATAATGATATTCATGAAAACAAGTAAAATATGTGCATTTAAGTCCTAATTACGCCAACAAATCTGTGTAGTTTCCGATTAGATAATTAATTGTACTAACTCTAGATTAGTGAATCGAAATAGATGTTTTGTACCGTAAATATAGCTTTAGAATATCAAAACTGAAAAATAATATTTGGTGCGGCCTATTTTCAGTTCTATCTGTGGTAGAACAAAAAGTTAGACGTTTGAGCATGGGAAAATTTTTATCAATTTTGCCCCATTTTTCCAATAAGACATTTTTCAGTTGAACTATTATGCATTCGAAATTCGGTTTCCATATACTGCCAAACATCTTCTATAGAACTCATATCTGAACTTTTGGAAAGTTATAAAGTATCCATTTAGGATCATTAATGGTTTAAAACTCTCCCTTATTCCCATTTTGGACGAACTTTGTAACAAACTATTTTTTATGAAATTTAAATGACTTATTTTAAATTGATTATTTAAATCTTGTTGTAAAGGAGTAATGGGAACATTTTTTAAACGCGAAATGATGTCACCTACAGTACTTCCTTTTACGCTTAATTTATCCGCGATTTTTGTTATGATCGTTTTTTGCACTTAAATATTCTTAACTAAGTCGAAACATAAATTTCGTCGTCAAAACTGACGATATCGAGAGACTCGAATAAACATGTTAAAAAGCTCATAAGTTGTTCATATTACTTACATGATTTTTTAAATAGGTATATACCACTTGAGAAATGTTCGTAATTTCAGCATCAACGCAAAAAGTCTTTTAATAAAAACTAATCGTAAACCGCATTAAAAAAAGTAAATTAGAATATTATTTGCGGGTTTTATGTTGTCTTAGTAAAACTGCACACCAACCAACCCCATATCAATATCATCAAGCTGAACAAACAAAAATAATTCAAAAGTATCTAAAAATCATAATGGGTAATAGCTCAACAAGGTAATACGGAAGGCGAGCAAGAAATCAATGATGCCACGTTTGAATCACTTTTCTACTAAGAAAACTACGAAGAAAAATCCTTGTAACAAGCACCTGCACCTAACCTTTAGTAAATAAAAATATAAAATAAAACATCGCAATCGGTGAACTTGTAACTTCTTACAAAACAGCTCAAGTTTACCAATATTAAACCTGCAAAGAATATCAGAATAAAACTATGAAACAAAGGAATATTACTAATCATTATTCACAGATAAATTTTTGCCGAAGCTAAAGAATTGCAAGTGACGCACATTAATAATCTCGAAAGAACATTCCAAACATGTTATTCATAACGATCTGCTACAATAATAAATATTAGTAGAATCGCATATTTTACTAATAAACAAAGCGCACGGATCCTTTTCCAAGCAGTGGTAACATGCATAAACATCCATTAAAATCCATTAATTAATATACCTACACACAGTATCGTGTAATCTGCATCTCGCTAATTATTCATTAAAAAGTAAGTGCAAAGGTGGCTTTCGTTTTTTGTCGGGATATTTGAAGAATTTGATGAATTTTAGGCAAAGTACAATCGATAGTTTTTGCTTCTTTTTTGTCACGTGTTGCACCTAAACATGCGGAAATGCCTGCGGTCGATAATTGATTTTGAAATATTTCAGTTCATTAAAAAAATGGACTGAACTTGAACGTTTAAGTGTGTGGGCATTTTGTGGGCAACAACAATTTTCTCTGGATTATTTATATGTCGAAAGTCTGGCCACAAATAGTTTGTATGATGACAAATAGCCAATGAAATTATGATGGCAGAAATGTGAAATTAACTAGCACTAGTTAAATGAAATTGAGCCTACAAATTGCATATGTAAAAACTTGGGAAAAGCATCCCGCTCAAATGTGAAAGGTTAATGTTTAAATTAAATTCCGGATTCTAATCATTGAGAGCAATTACGAACCGGGAACGGTTGCCAATTAAAAAAGATCGGACTTTGAAACCAGATTTGAAAATAGTCATGAGTAAGCAGATAATAAAGAGATATGAAAGTCAGGGAAAATTATTATGTACCAAGAACAAGAGAAACGTTCTGCAAATGTTTCATAATTTCAATTCATGAAAGAGCAACAGTAAAATGTAATTTTTACCGTCTGTGACCTTGCAAGAGAGTTACAAATTGACGTAGATTAGAATCAGAATTTTTTTTTATTAAACCACATATACATGCTGTATGTCACCTTCTTTTGGATTTCCACCGACGTCTACAAATCCATAAAAACAATAAGTTATATATATATATATTTAGTTCTCACTTGAATACAAGATTTTAAGAATTGGATTATATATAAGAATTTATGAATATTATAAGAATTTAAGCATTGTAACGGGTTTTAATTATGCATCTAAATTAGAAAACATTTGTTAATAAAGTTAGGTTTTCTTTCAAGGCGGTTTAAATCAGTTGATAACGAAAAACTAGTGTGTGATTAAAATTTATAATACAAACCGTTTCATCAAGTAAAACGTTAAGTAAAATGCAAAGTTGTTAAATTCATTTAATTTTGGATTTCTGAAAAACTCTGTTTTAAATTAAATTTCCCCGTTGTGTTGTTTGTTTTAGCCACAATTTATTAACAATTTTATACAAGAGCTGGCTTAATTGAGTGCAAATTCCAAATTGTCTATTTTATTTACARCGTGAAACATAAAGGCTTTAAACAGAGAAAAMAGCAAACTTCTTTACTKTTWCAAARMTGKTTWARWMAAATGGSGWRTWTKCACCGTSYARAAATRMCTAAWATKKTYAGACGAAWAARA